TGTGGACATAGAATGGACCCGATAGACATCTTTCTCAGTCTGGTCATCTGAACTGATGCCCACTCTTTACACCACAACTGGATCTCCAGAGAGAGGCTATCAGAGTGTTCTGACCACCTCTGAGAATGACACAGGCAACACTATCATCTACCGCTGCACTGCTACAGTATCCAGTTACTCCAACTTCAGTGAAATTACTGTACATGTTAAAGGTGTGGGGTGCTGTAAGATGTATAGGTTTACATATTTACTCACTTTCAGCAATCGCTCCTAGCCCTAGTACTCAGAGTCTCACTCTCACGTCTACCACTGTTTCTGTCAGTAGTTCTACCATTGCTCAAAGCATCAGTGGTGATATATTTACCACCATGTTTATACTAACTATCTTTGTACTGTCTACATTTTGTATCTTAGATGGTGGTAGTGGTGAAGATACATACGGTATGCCCACAACTTCATCCATTGCCAGCACGAACAGTGACATTTTTGAAATTGCTATCCCCACTGCCACAACTATCACTCCCAAAAGCACGACTGCGAAATGTGAGCCAATCAAACAAAGTCACTGGCTATCAGCCTTTTTTACTTTTCAGATATGGAGCAGTGTACTAAAACAATCACTCTCACCACCACGGTCACTTCTACTCCTGTCAGTGAAATATGTGCATGTAAAAGTGAGTTGATCCAAACTATAATTACCATCAGGCCTTTCTCTTCTTCTTCAGATGTTGACAAGGAGCCATTTACTGAGAGCACTGCAGTAATAGCTGGAGGTGTGGGTGGAGGAATAATACTCTGTCAGATCCTTGTCTGTCTCCCCATTGCCATATTTTGCATCTGCAACAGGTATTGTGTTTTTGTAGAGCGTAACATGGTTTGTTGTGTTAGGTTGGACTTTGTATACAGAACTAGCCAGTTAGGCAATGACATCCCCCATGCATTTGCCATCCTTGACAGATCAGCATACAGTAAGAAGGTGGAGACCCACAGTAACACAGCCTATGGAGTGGTACCAGCAAGAAGAAGGGAGGAACCAGAATATGAAGTGATTAATCAGCCTCTGAATCAAAGTTCTGCTAAACTACCTCTGTCTTCAAATGTCGCCATTGCATCCACTGCGATGTAACATTATGTAGCCATTTTAAACAATTGACATCTTAGCAGCGATATTGACAAGTGTAGTATAGGGCCACTGGCCTCATTGTGTACTGCTGTGTCGAATATTACAATTCTCAAAAAAAGTTCTCAAGAAGCATGCACTTACCAGAAATAAGGATGTACATATTTTTTCACTATAGCTAAGACAACATGATCAACATCCATGCACATCACAGTGACCGTAATAGGTAAGCGAAAGATATTGCGAAAAAACCTTTTAAAACAAATCTCCAGTCATGAGGAAGAATAGAGATCTCTGCTATTTCCCTGGAGATTTGTTTACGTGCCCGCAGCAGCCTCCAAAGAGTGTGACCAAAGAACTGAGATTCCCACACAACACAAAGCTGCTGTCTGTGGTTGTAACAGAGACTGTCGTCTTCTCCTTGTTTCCTTGGAATCCTGCTAGAGACCTGTGAGCATTGAGGGCAGTGGGTGGGTGGAGTCTAATAATTATACAAGAGGAGAGGTTTGAGGCACACACCATTCCCTTTTATGTATCAGTTAACTGATAAACAGTGTGCTATAATACACAGGTGTGTATGTATTAAGGGCTCCAATCTTCGAAAAGTTGTTGTTTTGTGCACAGTCGTTTTTCCAATGTTGATTTGGGGTCTTATGTAAAGTTAGTTATGCTGACTCTAGAGCCTAATCATCAAACAGTATTACTTTTGGAGAAGATAAGATGTCACTAGAAGGTGTACTTGTCAGAGCCATAGCTTTACTGTTAGTTCGGAGTTGCCAGGCACTGCCTCAATTTATACACGAGGGACACTTTCTGTCCAACAATTCCTTCATCTACTATCCTGATATTGGTGATTATGGAGATCGTGCTCTAAAGTGTGTGACTGACAGTGTAAACTGCTGCAATAACTCTACTGTTGGTGGCTGGAGAGATGAGAGTGGGAGACCAGTCTACCAGGGAGCAGATGGGACCACTTGTCTGTATGTCACTAGAGGAGATGGAGTGATCAGTCTAAATCGCAAGAGAGGTTGTACTGACCACACATCAGGACTGTGGAGATGTGATATACCTGATTCCAGTGGAGAGAGTCAGAGCCTCTACATCTATATCAGCAATAGAAGAGCATATGGTGAGCTACATTACCATTATCCACACTTTACTAAAAGAGAATACAGGACAATTGGTCTTGCTGTCTGTGAACTTCACTCTACACACTGAGCTCAGAGCAAGTGTTCCTGAATTCACTATCTCCTGCCGTACTCATGGAGGACCTGCCACAACTGTCCAGTGGACAGTAAATGGAGTCCCAGTACAGGAAAACAGATATTATGAGACCAGTCAGCTCATACTGGACACATCTCTCAACTCTGTCTATGACACCAGATTGAGAGTAAAAGGAAGAAAATGTGGGACTTACAACTGTACAATCAGCAATAATATTAGAGATTACTTACCTGAGGCATCCATTGATGAAGTTAATGGATCTAAGACCATTATTGGTACAACACTCAATGTGTATAGGGGTATTACATTTACTTACACACCTCTCTACTCAGTGGCAAGAGAGCCCACTAATCTTACCACAGTCATCCCTGAGTCCAACAGTACACATGTTAACATCACTGTGTCTTGGGAGTCACAAGACTATGTCGTCTACTACCAGCCTAAGGAAGGACCAGTCATCAGTGACAGGGTGTCTGGAGGAGAGACAGACACACACTCACTGGATGGTCTTCAGAGAGGAGTCACCTACTACATCTCCATAGTGGCTCTGTCACCTCACCTACCCAGTCCTCTGGTTGGACCTATCACTGTCATTGCTAGTGAGTCACTTACCTCTCCTTCCAGCCATCATGTCCTTATGTCACTCTCTCATTAGATCCACCACTGATATACGTAGAGACCTCACCTGAATCACTCACTACCTCACCAAACAATCAGTTCTCAGTCAACTGTACTGCCAGAGCTGAGGTTGATGGACAGAGTATTCCTGTGGACATAGAATGGATCCGCTTGCCATCTCTCCTCCATCTGGTCCATCTGAACTGATGCCCACTCTTTACACCACAACTGGATCTCCAGAGAGAGGCTATCAGAGTGTTCTGACCACCTCTGAGAATGACACTATAATTATTGTCTACCGCTGCACTGCTAAAACATTGCGTTACTCCGAATCAAAAGATACCACAGCTTTCATAAGAGTAGTTCAAAGTATGTCAATGTAGTCTTTATTAATGCTGCACACTGGTTAATTATGTTCACTTTGTATATAGGTCCTCCTAGCAATGTAACTGAGTGTACTTCCTTTGTGACACTTACAACCACTGTTACTAGCAGTGAAACAACTACTGTAGTATCTAGTACTAGTATTAAGCCTAGCACCACCCTTCAAATCACTGGCACTGCTACCGTTACTGTCACTAAGACTGTCACTCCTGCCGAGGATATTGCTCTCAGCAGTCACAGTAGCGCTACAAGACTCTTTTCTCCAACGACCACTCCCGCCAGCAACTCCAATATGGTCATTGCTACCTCTGTTACATCAGTTAGTGTAATCACATGTGCTGAAGGTGAGTTGATCTGCAAAACTATGGCTATCAGGCCTTTTCTATTTCTCATGCAGATATTGAGCCATGTACAAGAAGAAGCATCACTCCAACCAGAAAAAATATGGTCATTGCTACTCCTGCTACTCCTTTCAGTGAAACATGCTCATGTACTAAAGGTGAGTTGATTCAGACTATAATGGCTATCGGGTCTTTCTCTACTTCTTCAGATGTTGACAAGGAGCTATGTAGTACTGAGAGCACTGCAGTAATAGCTGGAGGAGTGGGTGGGGGGATAATACTCTGTCAGATCCTTGTCTGTCTCACCCATTGCCATATTTTGCATCTGCAACAGGTATTATTGTTTTCACAGAGTGTAACATGGTTTGTTGTGTTAGGTTGGACTTTGGTTTAGTTAGCTAGACAATGACATCCCCCCCTGCATTTGCCATCTTGACAGATCAGCATACAGTAAGAAGGTGGAGACCCACAGTAACACAGCCTATGGAGTGGTACCAGCAAGAAGAAGGGAGGAACCTGTGTATGATGTGATTAATCAGCCTCTGAATCAAAGTGCTGCTAAACTACCTCTGTCTTCAAATGTCACCACTGCATCCACTGTGATGTAATAAAGCACCTCTATCATAACGATTTTGACACAGTTATAGGGCCACTGGTCTTAGTATATATTATGTAGCTATAATTGCTGTGTATACTAGAATATTACGATTCTCAAGAAGTTTTCAAGAAGCATGCGCTCGCCAGAAATAAGACAGGCAGGAATGTGTTTCTTGTCATCGAATAAATTTGTGTGTGCTCCAATAATGTCCATGCACATCACAGTGACCATAATAAAATGACAGGTCAAAAGAAAACTAGTGAGGAGAAACAATAGAGATCTCTGTTATTTCTCTTTCCTTGAGATTTGTTCAAGTAGTGTGATCAAAGAACTGAGATTCCCACACAACACAAAGTTGGTATCTGTGGTGGACGCAGAGACTGTGGCCTTCCTCTTGTTTTCTTCGAATGCTGCTATATAGAGGTCTGTGGGTGGAGTGAAATAAGAGGAGAGATCTGGGGGGCACATCATTCTCGTTCTTGCGTCAGTGCTTTATTCCATTAACTCTCGGCGCGCACGCGCAGCGCCTCTACCGAGAAGGCGTGGCTCGTTTTCTGCTCGCCATGTGACGACAGCACGGAGCACGCGTAACGAGACAACAAAAGAGCAATAGTTCAGCGCTACACTGGCGAATTTCGCTACCTCGACAGATCCGCTTCTCTGCGTACCTTGGCGGCACCAGAAGTTGCAACACAGGGCGAGTATCGACTTCTTCATGCTATCTAGTAGTGTAGCTAGCCTGTCACAGACTCTCAATCAGCGAGCTGACCACGAGTGAGTAGATAGCCCAGCCCATCAATTAGCGGTACCGCGCAGGCGCGTAAGCTTATATACGAGCACGCGTTTCGAGGGTATTAATTTTCTAGCCCTAGCCTTAGCCCTTCCAATGTTGATTTGGGATCTTATGTACACTTAGTTTTTACTTTTGGAGAAGATAAGATGTCACTAGAGAGTGTACTTGTCACTGCCATAACTTTACTGTTAGTTCTGAGCTGCCAGTCACTGCCTCTATTTCAACATGAGGGATATTCTCTGTCCAACAATTCCTACATCTACTTATTGATATTGGTGATGGAGATAGTGCTCTAAAGTGTGTGACTGACAGTGTCCAACTGCTGCAATAACACTGATGTTGGTGGCTGGAGAGATGAGAGTGGGAGACCAGTCTACCAGGGAGCAGATGGGACCACTTGTCTGTATGTCACTAGAGGAGATGGAGTGATCAGTCTACACCGCAAGAGAGGTTGTAGTGACCACACATCAGGACTGTGGAGATGTGATATACCTGATTCCAGTGGAGAGATGCAGAGCCTCTACATCTACATCAGCAATAGGAGATCATATGGTGAGCTAGCATTACTTTCTCTACCTTTACTCACTATATATACAGGACAACTGGCTCTTGTGTCTGTGAACTTCACTCTACACACTGAGCTCAGAGCAAGTGTTCCTGAATTCACTATCTCCTGCCGTACTCATGGAGGACCTGCCACAACTGTCCAGTGGACAGTAAATGGAGTCCCAGTACAGGAAGACAGATATCATGAGACCAGTCAGCTCATACTGGACACATCTCTCAACTCTGTCTATGACAACAGATTGAGAGTGAGAGGAAGAAGAAATGGGACCTACTGTACCATCAGCAACAATATTATAGGCTATTGTTGGCTACACACTATTGTTGCAGCAATGGTTTCCAGTCCTGTCACTATTTCTGTTACTAACACTGCTTCAAGTGTTACTACTACTAGTCTCATTAGCCCCTTCACCACCAGCAGAGGTGAAACACTGATACCTTGTTGCCCCACTACTTAACTATGTTACTATAGATAGTATGGTGCCTACATCTTCTGTCACTGCACTTACAACCACTGTGGCTGGTCGAGAGACAACTACATCTATCATTGAGTCTAGCACTAATTCTCAAGTCCCTATTACCACAACTCCTGTCATTACCATGGTTTTCACTGGCACCCCAACGACCACTCCCACCAGTCATATGGTCATTGCCTCTTCAGACAGTGAAATGTGCACATTTGCAAAAGGTGAGTTGATCAATGCAACTCGATAAATGCCTATCAGGCTATTGTAGCTACCTCTCCGATATGGAGCAATGTACTAAAACAATCACTCTCACCACCACGGTCACTTCTACTCCTGTCAGTGAAATGTGTGCATGTACAAAAGGTGAGTTGATCCAAAAACTATAATGTAGATAAGAATTTATGTACATCTCAGATGTTGACAAGGAGCCACCATTTACCGAGAGCACTGCAGTAATAGCTGGAGGTGTGGGTGGAGGAATAATACAGGTATTATTGTTTTCACAGAGTGTAACATGGTTTGTTGTGTTAGGTTGGACTTTGGTTTAGTTAGCTAGGCAATGTCACCCCTGCATTTGCCATCTTGACAGATCAGCATACAGTAAGAAGGTGGAGGCCCACAGTAACACAGCCTATGGAGTGGTACCAACAAGAAGAAGGGAGGAACCTGTGTATGATGTGATTAATCAGCCTCTGAATCAAAGTGCTGCTAAACTACCTCTGTCTTCAAATGTCACCACTCCATCCACTGTGATGTAATAAAGCACCTCTATCATAACAATTTTTGACGCAGTAGTATAGGGCCACTGGTCTTAGTATATATAATTGCTGTGTATACTAGAATATTACGATTCCCAAGAATTTCTCAAGAAGCATGCGCTCACCAGAAATAAGACAGGCAGGAATGCGTTTCTCGTTGTCTGTGTGTGCTCCGATAATGTCCATGCACATCACAGTGACCATAATAAAAGACAGGTCAAAAGAAAACTAGTGAGGAGAAACAACTGTTATTCGTCTTCCCTTGAGATTTGTTCAAGTAGTGTGATCAAAGAACTGAGATTCCCACACAACACAAAGTTTGTATCTGTGGTGGAAGCAGAGACTGTGGCCTTCCTCTTGTTTTCTTCGAATGCTGCTAGAGGTCTGTGGGTGGAGTGAAATAAGAGGAGAGGTCTGAGGGGCACATCATTCTCTTTCTTGTGTCAGTTAACTGATAAACAGCGTGTTTTATTCACAGGTGTGTATGCTTATTAATCAATCAATCAATCAATAATTGCACGGACCACTAGGGCATGGCAGGTACATACATACACAAAGTCACTCAGTGTAGAGAGCAAAGTCTAGCTGTACAGTAGAGAACTAGCACTGCCCCTGGTCAATACGTAGTAGGATTCACTTGAATGTGCACCATCATTGGTGGTAGTTGAATGGTCGCATAAGACAGAATGTGGACGGACAGTTAATTAGAGTCGAGCGAAGACACACCATAAAACCTCCCACTCTCGGCGCGCATGCGCAGCACCTCTCCTGGCTTTGTAAAAGCACGGCATCATCCGAGAGTGAAAAACCAAGTGAACGAGCCAGTATGCAATTAGCACAGGCCTACCTCGACTGATCAGAAGT